GGAGACGCTGAGCTCAACTTACAAAGCACTGGACAAAGAAGTGAAGAAGAGTGCTAGGAAGGACAAAAGACGATTCTACGACAACCTGCCACTGAAGCTGAGAAGGCAGCAGGCAAAAGGGACCTGAGGACACTATATCAGATAACCAAATCTCTATCCGGGAAGAGACCAACACAAGCGAAACCTATAAAAGACAGCCAAGGGAACCCATTACCAAGGAAGAAAAACAGATTAAACAATGGGCGGATCACTTCAAAGGACTCTTGAACCGACCATCACCTGCAACCCGTCCAGAAATACCAACAACAGCGCGCACACAACTGCAAGTTGACACCAATCCTCCAACGAGAGCTGAAGTCTTGAACGCAATCAACTTCTGAAAGCTGGAAAACAGCCGGACCAGATGGAATACCCCCTGAAGCACTGAAAGCAGACCCAGAGACGACAGCAGACATGCTGACTCCATTATTGCAAAAGGTCTGGAAGGAGGGAAAGGTGCCTACTGACTGGAGGAAAGGTTACCTCGTGAAACTACCAAAGAAGGGCGACTTAGGACTCTGCAAGAACTGGCGAGGAATCATGCTCCTATCGACGCCAAGTAAAATCCTGAGTCGCATCATCCTGGAGAGATTAAAGGACGCACTGGAGACAGAACTCCGACCAGAACAAGCTGGATTCAGGAAAGGCAAATCATGTACTGACCAAATTGCAACTCTACGCATCATCATCACAGAACAAAGCATGGAATGGCAATCAAACCTCTACCTCAACTTTATAGACTTTGAGAAGGCCTTCGACAGCGTTGATCGTGAAGTAATTTGGAAATTACTCGAGTACTATGGCGTACCCCAAATATTCATCAACCTTATTCAACAGCTGTACGACAACGGCACATGTCAAGTGATCCACAACGGAAAACTCAGCGAGGCGTTTGGAGTAAACACAGGAGTCAGACAAGGGTGCTTATTATCACCAATGATATTCCTAATTGTGGTGGACTGGATTATGCGTCAGACAGTGGGAAACGAGAAGACAGGAATATCCTGGACCGACGTGAAGAACCTAGAAGACCTGGATTTCGCGCGGATGATTTATGTTTGATGTCACACACAATCGAAGACTTACAAGCGAAAACCGACAAACTGGTCGAAGAAGCAGCAAAGACAGGACTCCAGGTAAACATAGACAAGACGGAGGTTATGAAAATAACCAACCAACAACAGCAACAACATCCAACGTCAATCACCATCAACGGGAGGGATTTGAAAGAGGTTACTTCATTCACTTATCTAGGGAGCATTGTCTCAACTACAGGAGGAGCGGACGAGGATGTCAAATCCGAGAATCGGGAAGGCGAGAAACACATTCATCAGCCTGAAATCAATCTGGAAATCTTCGTCACTCAGCATCACCAACAAAATTCGGATTTTCAATACAAACGTAAAGTCAGTTCTTCTATACGGATCAGAAACTTGGCGGGTCACAAAGAATATTTCCAAAAGCGTTGCAGACCTTTATTAACAACTGTCTTCGCTCTATACTGAAGATCAGATGGCCGGAAAGAATCACCAACAAGGAATTATGGGAACAAACAAAGCAAGAACCAATCGCCCAACAAATATGCAGGAGAAAGTGGAGATGGATCGGACACTCGCTGAGGAGACCGCTGGGTGACATCGCGCGTCAAGCCCTCGAGTGGAACCCGAAAGGGAAGCGGCGTGTGGGACGTCCAAGGGTGACATGGAGGAGATCGTGTGAAGAGGAGTTGAAAGAATATGGATTAACATGGATGCAGGCGAAAAGTATAGCAGAAGACAGAAGCAAATGGAGACGTGCAGTTGAAGCCCTATGTTCCACTAGGAACCCAAGGGAGCAATAATAATAATAATGTATGTGTTAAAGTTTTAATTTGAACAGAAACTTACGGTTTATTAGATCAGTCTAACATGAAATTCCTTTTTCACTGTGTGTTTGTGTACCGGCGGTCAATAATGGCAGTCTGCTGAAATCTCTGGGCTATCTGAATTCCCATCCGAGACAATGCATCTTACTTTCTTTAGTTCTTGTTGCTATAATCATTCAGTTATATTCGTGGGTCTCCAAATGTACTCGTGTCCATTTTTAGTTGGTTTGCAGCCTGTCGTTAAGCATTTCTGTTGGAGCAAAGAAAAATAACGTAGTCGATTATTTTTTCCTTCAGATCTATCATCACTGCGTCACATGATGTACTGGAGATGGTTGTTTTACTTAAAACTCCTGAATGAATAGTAAATATTATGCAATAAACTGCACTGAAAATTGTTTATATTGTATAAACTTATTGTGCATAAAGCTATTGTTATTATTATTAATTACAAACAGTAATAACATCAATAATAATAATAATAATAACTGGATTTTATATTGTGTATTATGTTTACTTAGAAAACAGAGTGCTAAATGTTTGTATGTGATGTAACCTATTCATACATTACTGATTGACGTTCAGTAATTGAAATCATCTGGTATAATGACTTTGTTGTAGATTGATTTCTACACACCTTTTAAGTTGTACTCAGTTTTCATTAGGGATTTCAACCAGCTTAAAAACAATAACAGCTTCCTTGGGAATATTTCAGATCCGATTGTACATACATATTTTTTAAATCTCGTCTGTTTTACTAACCGATTCGAAGCCCAGAAAATAAAAGAAGGTTGCACTTGGAGCTAGTCTTCCCACTTAATACAAAAATAACTCTGTCTCTGCTTAAACTTCAAAGCACAGTATACACTTTTCAACTAGGCGTTAGTAGTCATTTATTTTATCCTTTGTGAACTCTTTCTATGGATGAAAAAATGAGGAAACAAGTCGGTCAGACGAATGCGAACTATTTTCTTTGTTAGTGACTAACGATGGAATACAGTTATTCCGTTACGTCCTATTTGGGATCCACCGACTGGGTGTACCTGTAGCCCAGTGAGTGATGAAGTACCCGTTCTTCGTACAACTGGCAGTGGATACACTCATTTGCGTTTGAAATGATTAGTGGCGGACTCGAGTCTCAACAGGAACATGTTTTTTTACTGAATCAATTGAAGCTATTTTTTGGTGGTAGCTAACAGGAGATGTTCCATTTTGGGTCTCATCTTCCGGATTCACTAGTATTGCAGTGAGTGATGGTGTTTTCTTGCTAAAACTCGGACCTAGCAACCATTATGCCTTCTGGATTCCGCTGTTAGCCACTATCAAAAGAAATAACGGGATGTCAACCTCAAGTGTGTGTTAATTAGGCACACCATGGCAACATAGGCCAGTCATTTTGTTCCAAAATAAATCAATGTACGCGAAATTCAATGTAATAGTTTCAGTAACTATCCAACTGATCAGTGTTACTATTCAGTTGTGTTTTACCACCGTAAATTTTATGCCAGAACCATCATTGCACTAACAGGAGGATATTATATCAGTAATCTAATTGAAAAATGCTCTAGTTTTTATGTTATGATTGTTCTCTTTCATTTTTATTTTAAATGCCACACATTTTACTTCACACTCAGGAATATTGGATTATGAAACTAATACTAGATGGTTGATAGCAATCGGCAGGGATCCTTGGATCTAGGTTTCGTGCTAGTTGGCACTTGTCAGCAGGGCGTATCTTCAACCTTGGAGAAACTCATGTCTCTTCTGACATTTGAACTCGCGTCACCCTGTGCCACCTTCAGTCAGAGACGTTGTTCGGACTCATGTAGGACTGTACTGGATACTTTAGTTGGGTGTTGCGAGTTTGAATTTCAGAAGGAAAATGACTTCCTCCAAAGTTGCAGATATGCCTTGCTAAAGAGTGCCAACTAGTATGAAACCTGGATCCAAGGCTTCCTGCTGATTTCCTTCAACCATCTAATATCAACAGTTCAGAGTGCACCGTGATGGCGAGGTACCTAAAATGCTGGTCACATTGCTAAAGTGACTGATAGAATTCAGTCTGCGTCAAACAAAGGACTTTACACACTAAGCTAGTCACTGACTAGTGTCCAATCAAAGACTATGAGCCTATCTGAGATAATGGTCTTGAGTGGGCAAGCTTTCATTGTTGTGGAGTGGGTGATAATTGATGGTAAAATGAAAATTTAAATCGCGAGAGACTCAAACCAGCGACCTGCAAATCGCCTTTCGGACTGCCCACTACCAGCTTGACCTAAAAAACCCAGCTGATAACCAGGTCATCATTTCACTGTAATCTTTAAGACAATCTCACAGTGTCTCCAGCAGCTCCTCTTCTCTTAATTCAGTATGATTATGGTTTATAGAAGACCTAGGTTGAGCCGCTAGTGTGATTATAAGCCGGCGGCTTGACACTACTCGTAGTTTTGACTATGGTAAGATGATGACAGTTTTGTTAACAATTGGTCCTTCTTGTGTAACGGTAGAAGACGAAAGAATTGGTAGAGGAATGTTTATTTGGGAATTGGTATCTCTGTATAGGCAAATTATGTACACCTTACCTTTAACGCATAATCTGCACAGATCTTCGTGTTGTGGCACTTATGGCCTTCATATTGTGTTTCTCTGTGTTCCTTTCACGTCTACCATTTTCTGCACAACTCTGTATCTTTTGTTTTCCCTGAAATCAAGTGTATTTCCCTGCTATTCGATGTTTTCATGCTGATAAACATCTCTTTATGTGCTACGGACAACTCTTATCAGTAGTACTTGCCACATTTGTACGTCAGCTGATACAGCCCCGAACTGATAGTTCGGAGCCCTCTCGCTAGATATAAGAAGGCTTTTCTCTCAGTGCTTAAAAAACGTGTGTGACAACTTTAACTTGAACGTAGGGAAATTTGCGTACCTGTATAAATCTTATTTGTTAGTTAACATTTTAAACATTTCTGGTACAGCATGTTTTTGTCTACTTTTAGAGTTGACATTAAAGATCATTTCAAATATCCTATTCTTTTTAATTTATTAAATAAGTTGTTAATTTATTGTTCACTTTTCTGGGGTTTTTCTGTTTTAGGCAATATTACAGCACTACACGACTTACATTTGAATAATAATCCGAATTTAAACAGTCTACCAGCTGAATTGTCATTATGCAGTAAATTGATTATTTTAAATTTGGAAAGTTGTCCACTGCGTGCATTACCGGAACCTATTGTTCAAGGCGGCTCTGCTATGATTATCTATGTAGGTTTCTGTGTGTATACTGTGTCACATGATTTTTACTATTATGGTTATTAACTGCGTGTTTATTATTTACAGTTTCTATCTGTCGTTTAAGTCTATCCTTAGTGGAGAGTTATTTTTGACTTTGTTTATTACACTTATTAATCTGACTTCTGGCGGGAAATAATTCTGGAACTTTCTCACACATGTAATATAAATACACGAATGTACAGCCTACTTGATGACTTCGTCGAAAAGAAAATTTTCATCGCTGCAACCGTCGTTTTAATAATTCCTATGATCCAATGTGTAATATTATTCAATGAATAACAGGAGTTTTTCCATTATATTTTCAATATAGAAGCCCTTAAGGGTGTAAGAGTTACGTAATGAGATAAATAACTTAGTGAATAAGATGTAATTGGAAAAATGGGGAAAATTTCATACTATACAGTAGTTCAAAAAGATATCATGGTTAGAGTGAGTTAATTAGCAATGAAGCTAGTAGAAGACGACAGGGTCGTCACCGTGATAGAAGAAGTCGTTGAATAGTTCTCTTTTGTATTCAGAGCTCTGGTTTCTGCATCTGAATGGCTACAGCTTCAGCAATAAAAAAGAGACAAAAGGGTATTGTGGGAGGGGGGGTTACGCTTCTTTTTGCTGGTGCTTATTAACTCTTTCTGACTCCCTGACTTTTTCGGAAGCTTACGTAATAATACGTTTTTCCTCGTTTTTATGTGAATTCTGATTACAACTAATTCATTACGTTATTTACCTTTTCACGTAACTGTAACACTCTTACCCAACTCCCCTTATGCGTTGATGAATACTAACAACTATGATTGCTTGGAGAGAATCAAACAGGCCCTGGATGAAAAACTTCGACCGGAACAAGCTGGATTCAGGAGAAACAAGTCATGTATTGATCAAATCGCCACTCATCATTGAACAAAGCTTAGAATTGCAGTCACCTCTCTATCTCAACTTCATCAACTTTAAAGAGGCCTTCGACAGCGTCGATCGAGAGGTGATTTGGCAACTACTCCGCTACTACGGAGTCCCATCGACAATTATACATCTTATCCAGCAGTTATACGACAATGCTGCATGCCAAGTAATTCACAACGGGAAACTTATGGAAGTCTTCGAAGTGAGGACGGGATTGAGGCAAGGCTGTCTACTATCGTCAATGATTTTCCTGATTACAGTAGATTGGATATTGCAACAGACAACAGTCGATGAGCAAACAGGCATAAAATGGACTCACACAAAAAACTTGGAGAATATGGACTTCGCCGATGATATATGTCTGATTTCCCACAAACAGGAAGATATACAAGTGAAAAGCAACAAGCTGGCAGAAGATGCATCAAATATAGGACATCCTTCAGGTGAACATAGAGAAAATAGAGGTGATGAAGATTCCTGGTCAACATCAGCAGCAGCAACAACAACAGACAACAATCAGCCAGGACAGATGAGAGGAACCTGAAAGAAACAACCTCCTTTACCTACCTACCTGGGAAGAATCGTTTCAACTACAGGCGAATGGAACTGACGAGGATATCAAAGCCAGAATCGGAAAAGCAAGGCAATCTTTTATTACTTTCAAGTTTGTGTGGAGGTCAACAGCACTCACCATCAAAAATGAGATCCGGATTTTCAACTCCAATGTGAAGTCAGTCAGTGCTAATCTATACGGATCAGAGACTTGGCGCGTCATAAAGAGCATCTCGAACAAACTACAGACCTTCACCAACAGTTGTCTTCGCTCAATACTCAAGATCAGATGGAAGCGCCGAGTTGGTCGTCCAAGGGTGACTTGGAGGAGGTCATGTGAAGAGGAGATGAAAGCATGTGGGCAGACTTGGAGCGGGGTGAAAAAGTTGGCAGAAGGCGATGGAGGTGCGCAGCTGAAGCCCTATGTTCCTCTAGGAATTAAAGGATTTAATATTAATAACAATTATGATTGACCGTTAATAACAACTTACTTGATTCAGACATAGCTAATTGGCAATCATCACATCTACGACAACGCTAACTGACCTTAAAATATAACCGCATTCAACCATTAAATATCACACCTGTTTGAGATTACCTGTCTGGAATTATATCACTTACAAGCTTTTCACCAAAAGCCAGTGTTTAAAATGATGTATTATCGCTTCAAAACAGTGATAGAGTGAATTGTTGTTTATTACTGATATTCGTCAAGATCATATCCTGACACCCTTGTTGTATCAAGATTCTTAAGTAGTAATTGAAAGTGAAGAAAAGAAGAAATATAAAAAAATCAATAAATCTGAACCCTTCTTTGTCATCTACAAAACAAATAGGATTTCATTGTTAGGTGAAACTGTACACATCTCTTTTCTGCAACTCAAAATATTGAGTTGAGTTTATTATGAGTAAATGATAGATTGAGATTTAGATCGTCAGCTGGCATTAATCGAAAAACTACTGGATAGCTGTTTAATACTAGTTGAGAACTCCATTGTCCGACAGGAGTGAAACGGAAGACTTTCAGTCATCTAACCACTACGACGGAATTCATTGGCACACGAATTCTTATTGCTGCCGGCCATTGTCATCGAACAGCATGTGTCCTCACATCCCGCTTGGCAGACACCAGTGTTAGATTAACTGATCAACAGCTACTACCTTAATGCGGTGTTCGGGCATATATATATATACATATATCCTTAGTCCTAATTAAATGAACAAATAAGGCAAATTGGTTTGTGGTTTATGTCAACTGACACATTATTTCTTCTTGATATACTAAGAGTTTTATTAGCCTCAAAATTTTTATTTCTGGAATCGGGCAAGTACCAATTGACATAGAATATATTTTTCCTCATCTCACATGAAAATTTAGAGTTTGTAACCTTGATATATCATGTTTATGGATAATAGGTGAATTGTGCTTCTATGTCCAAGGCTTTTCAGTATTCATTATAAATAACACTAAGAGATCTTACGATGTAATATTTCTCGTAACTTGAACAAAGTCATGAGAATTTATCGAATTAGCAATTCGCAGTTTGAGGGGAAATTTCATCACAGTTTTTTTTGGAAACCAAAACTGTTTAAATCACGCAAATGGTAATCAAGAAAGCAAGAAGGAATAAATGCATGATACCAAATACTACTAATTGATTTAAGTAACTGGATACCACTCTCGTCAATCAGTAACCAGAATTTTGGTGGTTTGAACTGATTCGGCTCTCTGAGTAGTTGAGTTAACCCTGAGGGTAAACTGTTGACGAGCTGGACCACGAACAAGCGAATTAGCCGTTCAGTGCTCAGATCAATTCGATCTGGCCATTAAGAACTACTGGCCGATATGAGTGATATCCAATTACTCATACCAATCAGTCAACAGTATATCAAATTCAATTCTGTGTTTAAAAGTTTTCATTTTTGTATAAGTGCAAGAAACATCTGGTACTTGTGTCAACCATGCGCACGAATAATCATTTAGCCTTAAGTCTAAAGTGGTACTGATGTGTTGCTTTATGTAGGATTTTCTTTGATATCATAGTATGTCTGGTTAAGGCGACTAAGAAAATAAGCGATTCTACCTTTAAAAGAATGTTTTTGCTTTATTATGAATGTTGTCACAAAAAATGATCTAGGACGCTAAACTTGTTTGGCAAATTAGCGTGTTCACTACTGCCACTTTATTCTACATGCCGTTGTTCAAAACTGTTACTTGACAAATTCTTGTACTTCACATTGTAATTCACTTGGCACTTGCTGTTGCCATTTCTTCTGCAACCCTACCAGCCTCAAAAATGATGAGGACATACTATGTATCTATGCTTACTGTTCCATTAATTGAAAAAAGGCATATCAGCCAACTGGCTTTCCGGAGACTTTTGGTGGAGGTTATCTCCACACCCTACCTCCCCTCTTTTCCAGGCTTAGAACTGGCTATTTAACTAGTTCTGAATAGCTCGAATGGTAGCATCTCTGACTGCACTATTGAGTAACGCCGGTCCGAATCACTTATCACATCAAAAGATTACTTGTTTTTGTATGACGGATGATGCATAACTAGCTAGCTAGTTGTACAGTGCATTATTCGAGGATAATTTTTATGATTTAGCTGCTAATCGTTTTCATAATATATTTTTTTATGAACCATTTAACAGTGTTAGTTTTTCTCCAGTTTTCTTGCTAAGATGAGCATATTTATAAATTAAATATTTATCTGATTAACTTCTCTTTTGTTTTTTAGTTTTTGCAACAAGTTCTACAATTGCGAAGACAACAGAATATGCTATAACAAATGGAGAGTATGCTGAAATACTTTAACTTATATTTTGTATCTATCTAAATCAATATCAAGTTATGCTTTGTGCACTTATACCCCCTAGGTGCCTTAATTGTTAAATACAGATATAAATGAGGCAAGTCAGTGATATAAATGTGTGTAATTTTGCTTTTCCAGTAGTTTTTTCAAAGCAGAATAAGATGCATAAAAAAGCAGATTAGACTGCAGTTCTTTTTGAATTTCGTTTGTGAGTACATCTGTAGCTGGGCGGTAGAACACTCTACAGCCAAACACGTGGTCCATGTTTGATTTCCGCCTGACTCCACTTCTTAACCTTGCCTAATTAGTTTACTAGGAAACCTATAACTCGATAGCTGAAAGTCAATTTCCTAATCTAATGCACCCTACATCCCCAACTCACGTTGCGATGCATGTATTCTTCATTTTGTAATTAGTGTGGATTTTTGTCATGGCTAATATTTGTTCGCCAATAGCCGACAGTACGAAATTACTACTATTTTGTATTATAAGTAGCCAAGTGGAATATATTGAAAACAAAATTTTGAAAATCTGGTAAATAGGTTTGTTAAGTACTCAGTAACTCTGATATGCTTAGCTGTGCTTCTCTATCGATTGTTTTTCTCCTTCTAATGAAACCGCGCAAATTGTTCATTTAAACCACTGTGTTTCTAGGTTCTGTGTGAAGTCCTTCTTTATTGATTAATCATATTGTTTCAATTTTCATTTTTGAAGAAAAAGCCATGATGTAATTCGACATTTTCTCGTTATATAGACGGTTTTCTTCGTGGGATTATTCCTCCTCTCATACACCTTTATCCCCTGTAAAGTGTCATTATTAAATTTCTGTTTTTCTGTACATCGCACTTTCTCGAAGTATTACAGAGTTCTTCATGGATTTATCAATCTTATAATTTATTTTTATTGGTTGATGAAGATAACATGTTTATCAGTTGAATTATAGGAGCCATTATTGCTTAGTTTATAATCTCTGAAGTCTGTATCTGTTGAAAATGGTATTTAATTTCTCTGTGATGTGAATGAATCATGGCGTTTATATGGTTGTTCTATACTTTTTCGTAAATTATAGTTAATCTCTTAGTATTTACTTTTATTTCTCTACATTTATGTGTTTTGATGACATGTGGCAACTTGAACTGTTGTTACACCACCTTTGTGAAAAGTGTGCTTAAAGAAGCGCAGAACGTATGTGGGCGGTTATTTCTTTGTGGGCATCCACACTGTAAAAATTGATTTTTTTCTTGAAATACCTTAAAGAGAAGAAGCACTAGTGTTGCGTAATCACAGGGCCGAATGGACAACTGCTTGAAACTCTTCACATGCGACCTATTTTGAGTTGGTTTTGGGGACTTCGTCCTTATATATGTTTTGTCACCGGCTACGGACAGCTGCTAGATAAGTTAGGATATGCTTAATTCTTGAGGTCAATCTTTTTTAAATTCTCCACTCCACAACGGAGACGCAGCATAGCTGGCTATCTGTTCCTCCAAGAGAAACACCTTACACTATGATGGTAACTGTTTTCAGTCTAACTAATATTCTAGGGAATGGCAGGAATATTCGTTGGTCGCATCATTGCGATATGTAAGTCCGACCACAACGCCAAAGGTGGTAGTACCGAATACCAGTTGTGATTGTGCAAAGGGCTACATTAACTTTAGTTTGTATTTTAATATTCATAAATTAAATTGCTTCTATATGCCCACCAAGTGCTGTTTATCGGTTCGTGTCTAAAATCTACTTTCAAATCCTTATATATATATATATATATATATATATTGTTTCTATCTGATCCACCACTTTTATGTGAACCAAGATCATATGACCTATTTTTTAATTTCTTCTTTTATGTATATAGAAGATGGCTGCACATCAATATCTTCAATCAATCACTTAGGATAACTTAACAGCTAAGAATTTATATAAATATATACATGCACTTGTCTCAGGCTACTGTGAAATTGTTAATTTTAATTTGTTTTTAGCTTTTTAAAAATAAATAACAGTTGTAATGAATATTATATATAATATCACACCTTGATATAACTTGTGAAATCTTTATCGTACTACAAATATATGTTTCTATTTATCTATATAATGATGAGACTTATGGTTAATGATATATGAAGTTATTATGTATTATATTATCTTTGTTTTTCTTACGTTTGTCTCGTGTACTTACTATTTTCAGTAGATTATATGTATTCCTATGTTTACCTTCCTGTATGAAGAATCCTTGTTATTGTTCTTATTGATAATGACTTCTCTTCCTCTTCTGCTTCTACAAGTGTTTCACAAGACGTATCTTTTCGTGTTGTTCATTTTATTGTTTTCCTCTCCCTTTTTCAACCTTCCATGAAGTATGTTGTTCAACTTGATCAGTATAAGGCATGCATATATTTGTTAGCTATTAGTCAAACACGCCTAGGAGATTATGAATGAACTAACTACACGATTGAACACACATATTTGCTCTCCAACATATATGAATCGGACATGCTGTTCGATTGTCAAAGTCTCCGGTTCACAGTTTTGTTTTAATACACATACATATATTTGCTATTTCGCTTCTACACCTCATTTTTCTCTGTCGTTGAATTCTCTTTCTTCTTTTTTTCTCTTTTCGTTTTGGTTACTTCTAGTTTGCTTCTCTTAAACTGCATATAAAAATGATACTGTTAAGTAGTTTATGTGGGTTTATTATTCTCAACAATAAAAACAATCCCTAATTGTACATACATGCTAAATAATATTTCAGAAATCTTACAAACCTTGTCACCATCATCGTCAAGTATTTGTACTTGATTGATAAGTTCAATTTGCTAAAAAGGTGAACAGGTACCTTTGTTTTCATTTATTATGATTATTGATATCATTATAAAATTAGTATTATTATCATTACTTTTCAAGTGTTGATTTGCGAGAATTTGATTGATTTCAAGACAGATTACGAAATGACATCAGTTGGAAAAGAAAAAAATGAGAACTATGGAGTACCAGACATATGTTTCGTCCTAGTTTGGGACACCTCAGTAGCACTCGCCGTATGACTCTGTCAGGGATCAAACCACAGGATCTCTAAGTCACAAAGAGATCTCATATACAGTTCCACTCATTGGAGCGGAATTTAGTATTCCATTAATTCAAACTTCTGCGATTTGCGATAAATAGTGCAACCGCCAGCCATCAATATCGGTGCCTGATCACGAACATGAGTATTCACTCCTCGTCACTTTCTATACTATAAAAATCTTCATCTCAGTATTCTCTCCCCCTATATCTCTTCGTTCACTGCAGTTTCATACCACGTTGTGGCAAATTAAGCTGACTTACTTTGGCGCAAATGTCTACGTTGTTACGTCACTCAGTGATATTTATAATACTATGAGTCGTAATATGTCAACTAATCGAATCCCAACTGTCCTATTATTGCAGTTACGTATATATCCTAATTCTGTAGTAGGTGTTTTATTGAATTAGTTTCTTTTCACAAAATATCAGATCAGTAAGAATCATTATGTTATCACTGGGATATGATCATTCCTATGGATTGCATCTTTTTTTGAAGTCTCACCATATCATTCTGTTTGAATCAATGCTATCTCTTGTAACGCAACAAATGTTCTGAAATACATTTTCCAGTGATTCACACAATAGCCATTGTAGCATTGAATTAAATTGTGTCACTAATTAGTCTAGGTGCCCAAGTACTAACCGATGGGCGTTGGATTTGAACTGCGCTCTATCTGCCACCCAGGCATGGGTTACTAGGTATAGTCACTAGTCCCCAAACAATAGTGTCGGCTCTTTTTTAACTGCATGGAATTGTTCATGATTTATAACAATAAACTGTTATGCAAGGTATTTTGGTCAATTTCGCAAATGCTATTTCAGCAACTTTTAGTAATAATTTCAAACTGAAATCGTTCATTTCAGGCAGTACTTTTCAGTACACATATTGAGGTGATATAAGCGTCCGATAGAGCTGTTCTGATAGTTTTGAGGAAAGAAGTTTTTGTAATAATGACATTTACATAATTACAAGCATCTATTCTTATTCTTTGATAATGCTTTTTGCTGTGTAATTTCCACTGAACCTGATTTCCTACCAGTTAACATTTTTGTTTCAATATTTTGTTTTCTAAATGAGAAACAGTGAAAACTTGACACTAACGTATATTTGTAAATTTTCGACACTGTGATAGTAGGTATTTCCACATTAATTTGTTTATTTGGGTGTATCACATAATCAAACAACATTAATTACTGGATAATACATCGCAACAATCTAATCTCTAAAATCATATCAACTGGAACTACAGAACTTTGAACTTCTCCACTCCTCTATAAACCGTGGGCAGTAAAAAATGTGTACACATAGGGCTGACAAAATAGACTGTAGATCGTGACTCTGTGGAAGATTCACGTCTTGTGTCGCACAAACTCGAATGTTAACGCGGGTATAAACAGACAAGTAAGCAGAAGAGGCAGGGAAAAAATGGCTCACAGTGAACACAAAGGTGATAAAGATAACCGATCAGCAGTTGTAAATACTATTCACCAACAATGGAAGTCTAAAGGAGATCGTGCGCTTCAATTACCTGGGCAGCGGCATCGTTTCAACTACCAGTGCTACAGATGACAATGCCAAAGTTAGCAAGGAGTGGAAAAGCAATACAGACCTCCATTACTCTGGAACGGGTGTTGCGCTCAACATAAGGAACATTATCCGAGTTTTCAACATCGATGTCAAATCAGTTCTTCCATAGGATTTATAGTCTTGCTGTGAAACAATTTGCAAAGGGGTTCAGTTTCTCACCCGATATTGAAGATTAAATGGCCAGAGATGATAAGCGATAGGGGGCTCCTGCAAGGAAACAGCCAAGAACCTACTAAACAAAAAGTTTGTCGAAGTAAAAACGGATTAGCGATATGCTGCGGAGACCTGTGAATGTAATCACACGCCGGGGCAT